ATAGTAGAATTCATTTGATACATTTTTGTTGCAAGCAGGAACATTTAAGATTATTTAACAACTTCGATGAACAGAAAAAGGAGACTTCCATTCCATCAGTCTGGGCTCAATTTCAACTTAGGTTCCAGTGTGATGGGGTAGTGTGTATTACCCAGTTCTTTCCAATTTTCATGAGTATTTAGTTATTTGCTTGACATCGTTAAAAATGTTCCATCTTCATGAAAATACATTTCACAAACTTTAGAAAGGGCCAAAGAAAACTGGATCATTTTCATAATCATGTCATCACACATAGTGACACAATATGTTTCAATGTGATTCATATCATCGTGGCTTTTAGACCAAAATAAGAGCAGATCTTCATGAAGATGATATCTTTTTTTGTAAAATAATTAATATTTCTGTTTCTTCACATCTTCTAAGTTTTCTTCTTGTGGTGTTTCCTCACAGTCTGATAATCCAGCAAATATAAATCTTTGAAGATTGACAGTGGCTCCAACAGTCTGAATCTAGACTTCAAACTCCAAGGCAGTCTATTTAGTATCCTCTGGCTGAACATTTCATTTCCAATAAAATCAAAAGAATATGACCAACAAAAGTCAATTACCTGAAGTTTTATGGCAATTTTATATTAATACTGTGAACATTTTGAGAATGATTTAAAAGGCTTTAATTTCACTGGAGTTGTGAATAATTCAGTAGCACATCTTGAAGCACTGAAATGAATTATGACCTTTAAATCACCTTTGCCTCTTTTTTAAACAACGTACAATAAAAACATCGTGGGTAGTTTCTTCATTGGGAGAAAGGTCATGCATGGGTAGTTTTCTGTTCATATTGTTTACTCAGCAATGGCGGACTTGTGATTCAGTAGTAAAGTAAGACTTGTATTTATCTTGTCTTTTAGAACTGCCAAGTTCCTCTAAATGCTTTACAGCCGATAAAGTTATTTTGGTACAGTCACTGTGGTGATGTAGGATTTTAGTTTGGTAATTATCAGCAGTTTTAGATGGAAGTAAAGTATTGTAATTATAATTTTTTAGAAAGAAGCTAATGAATATGTATGTTGTTACTTTCACTTAGTGTAACGAGTCTATAAATAGACTTGCTGCTACAGAGGAATCTATTATTTGGGACTTCCTGATTTTCTTAGCTACTGAATGACACATTTTTCAGATCAGACCCTGTGCATCACAGAACAACTCTATTTACACTTCAAACTCCATCCACACTATTGTGAACCAAGAGTTTATCGGGAGCCATGTGAATGTAACCCAAGAAATGTAACAACGTAGCGACACCTAACTGGCGATATACAGCACCTCTTTTCCCAATGCTTATAATTAAAGTATGATTCAACATGCACACTTCCCTTTCAGATACATTTGATAAAAAGTTGTGTAATAACATTAGTTCAAATAAAATAGACTTAAGACACTATAGTGAGCAATGCTGTTAAAAACAGGCAACTCCCAAGATAAGCAGTTTTGCAGAAAGAGTTGCCCCCCTCTGATCATTTTTGATGTCTCGATCCAGTTCAAAAGAATATTAGTGTACAACAAGGATCCCACTTCCATTTCCATCTTTCCCCTCAAATCTATGGAAGATAAGAGAATTAAACAATTTGAGAAAGGGGTTACAAACAATATTAAATGCATTTATGTTTAAAAGTAGTCTTATTTTTAATGATAATATATATGAAGAGCTTTTGCGTGTGTGAATTAAGTAAAATTTTTGACATATTTTTCCCTTTCTTTAAATCATTTTCTGGCTTTCTCCAATCTCTGATGCTGCAGTTGCAAACATACTGTGGCGAGAGGAAGGTACTGCAGTGCATTGTTGTGTTGTAGTGATCATGTGCTTGTCCACTATTTGTAACACAATTTATTACTTCTAATAACAGGTCCTTCTCCGTACTGTGCCTCTAAGTCTAATATTCCCACTACCTCTCAGACAGGCTGCATCTTTTGAGAGCATCATCCCAATTTTACTTACTCTTTTCAAAGTATATACAAAGAAACTCTACATTATCTTGAGTCTGCTAACAATGGAACACCTTCCAAGAGAGTATTTATGATCCACAGACAGCAAATAAAATCATCAAACCATTCTTTGTCTGTCTATACATGATAATTGGATATTGTTACATTATAATTAAGTTTTCGCAGCTTTTTCGAAGGAAGTGCAGCACATGTTTTTAACATATTACTATGTAAGAGTCTTGTGGCTTATTAGGTAGCATCCCTGCTTCTGAGCCAGTTGGTTAATGTTCAAATGTCATTCCACTACTTGTTGGCTGCAGAAAGACTGTTCTCAACAGCCTAATGATGGGCCTCCACAGCCTGACATCTTTCCAACTATCCCCTAAAAGGGAAAACATTCGTACTAAAGAAACCTGATTATGTACAATTGACACAGGAATTAGTTTCACCCTTACTAATATCATTGTGTGCTTGCAGATGAACCAAAGGTTTGCCAAATTTTTTAGTAATAGTTTCCATTTAATTCAAAGTCTTTAGAGCTTAGAATGTCCATCCCTTGTTTGCAGTCTGAATGGTGTTGGAGGCAACTCCATTTGTCTCCTAATACAACAAATCTAGAGAAAATGGAAATAAATATTTAACTTCCAAGTGTGGTCCCTGATCTTTACTGTTACCTGATCTCACCCAGAGTTGGAACAGGGCTTGTACAATGGTTCAATGGCCCAAAATACTGAAGAAAATAAAATCAGTCAGGGTTTCCAATTCATCTCACCAACCAGTGTTGTTCTTAGGCAAGTAAATGGAAGTATGGGACAAATTGATGGTAGTATCATTCTCATAAAAAAGAGTGTGTCACCTTGGCATACCTAAAAAACTTACTAATGTTAATAACCATGGATTTTCTTTCCTCGCCACATATCTAAAGACAAAACAACCATTTGTTAGATTCTGACTGCCATCATGGATGAGATCAGCTAACTATGTGCCCTGTAAATCACGGGATATAAATGATTTGTACTTAATTATTTGTGTCCTATTGCATCTTAAACTCTTCAAAGAGTTTCATTGGAATTCCAAATTTCCTGATCACTGTGACAATCACTTAATGATTTTGCTTTTTGATAAAGTGCAAGAGAAATTGGCTGATGGTTTATTTGCCAAAGTCAGAGAATCAACAATCCATTCTGGAGAAAAGTTGTTGATTTAAAAATAAACACCTGTCACTTACCTCTTAATAAATTATTGTAGAAAACAAGCCTCTGAAAAAAAATTAATTTATTTCATAGAAAATGTTAATTTTTGAGTTTCCTTGCTTCATGGACATTAAAGATGTAGTAGATTTACAGTTTATTGAAAGTGCAAGATATATTTTTAAGGAAATGTTGATAAAACATTTTCTAATGAAAAAAGAGTCACATGAGTTTTTGTAATTAACAATAAGCAACAGAAAAGTACTATAATATGCAGTTAATGAATATATAATTATCTGAATATGTTATGCAATGTTACAGCTTAGTTATATTATGTGACAGTAAATATATATTGCATAATCCATAGATTACATAAAATCAGATTATATTAATAGTAATAATTCCACAAATATATATAAATCATAGAGTTCTGAATTCCAATATCTAGTACATATGTTATTGCATATAACAATATATATAATATTGATTTAATATTATAACATGTAATATATTCTCAATACAATATATACTATAATATATAACAAATATATATATTATTTGGACAATACAAGTTATATGCATAATGTAGTATTAATCTATTCATAATACCTTATTTCTTCAAATAGTATGATCAATTTATAAGCTATATAATTTTTTGGATTGCAACTAACTAACTTTGATAAATAAACTTTTTTCTTCCCCTTCCCTAATGAAAGATAAATTGCAACATTAAGTTTAAACTGTTAAAGATTGAAAACATTAGTATCAGAATAATGGCTTCTGGCTGTGAAGCAAGCAGTCATTCATTCTGTGTAATACAGGGAGCACTCCGCCTTCACTCCTAACTAAAGGTCAGTATTTGGTCACCTGTGTTATATATAGTCAACTGAGTAATGTCACAATAAGCAGGAGCAGCCAACACTACAGTTGCCAACTCTTAGCAACTCTTCTATTAAAATATTTAATTGAACCATTATTTCACACATTATTCATAAATTTGCTTGTATTTGATTACATCCTATTTGTCCAAATTTCAGGAAAAAATCTTCAAATTAGAAAGTCTGCCTTCATGTTAAACAGTCCTCATAGAACTGTCTTATGCAATTTAAGTCTGCCATTGCAGAGTTGTATGTGATAGAACTACAAAGCAGAAACTTCGATTTGGAGGTCAGAAAGTTTGTGCTACAGTGTGCAGAGCTTTCTATCCACCACAGCATGTGTACGCACATGTGGGTAATAGGCCAGATATGCTGAACTCTGCAACTCCATTATCAAAACTACTCCCATTTCATGCAGCACTAGATCATAAGAAAAATGCCTCAGAATATGTAATGCATAAGTAAGCAATAGTATATCTAATATATGTATTATGAACTATAATGTCAATGTAGACCTGTAAAAATATTTTATGCGTACATTGTTAAAACTGTAAAAAAAGGATTAAACTATGAGATGCTCAAGATGATAAACCAAATGTTGCTAAAGCCTGTCTTGAGGTATTGTGGGTGTTAATGTTATGCTTTGAGAATGCACTGATGGAAAATGACCCAATTGCATTTTCTCACAAATTCACTGTATGCAGTTGTTTTAATGCCTTTCTGATGCCAAGTGAGACTTGCCATAGAAAGCTGTTAAAGTGACAAAAACATCTCCATGATTTCCTTTTTCTTTGGAGGTTGCATTTCTTGTGCCTTCAACATTGCTTTTCCTTTTTTTTTCCCCACTGATTTCAAGTGTTTTAGAATTTAAACAATAATATTTCTAAAAAGTCTAAATATTTCATTTTACAGAATGTGCAAATGAAACATTTTTGTGTTTTGTCTTCAAGGACTTAGTGTTGGAAATATGTTCTATATATTCTCTGACGATGGAATCACAATAATTCAGCCCACAGGATGTGAGATTCAAAGACAGATCAAAGCTAATGACCAGATCCTTGCAAGCTTTGTAAGTTGCAAATATTTCTACATTGTCTTTTCCTTTTAACAAATATTTCCACATTGCTTTGAGTGTGCTCTTAGAACACTCCATGTCATTTAAATGTTCTGCTTTAATGACTCATCTTTGCAGCCCATTTTCAAAGTCCTGTCATAAGCTTGCATCAGTCTATGTGCCGCTTGATTTCCTGATCACCTAAACGAGCCTGTAAATAGTGTGATTAGCACTGACAGTGTGTCTGTGCCATTTAAATTACACCTGACCATAGAAGTTGATCAGGCCTCCCCCCAGAATTAGCCTTTTCTCATTTGTATCATACTTAGCTTGTATTCAATCATCTATCAGTGTATTCTTCCAATGCAAATTGGCACTGTAAGGTTCAAAGCAAAGGATGTTGTATATTAGAGATAGTAGGAACTGCAGATGCTGGTGAATCTGAGATAACAAGGTGTACAGCTGGATGAACACAGCAGGCCAAGCAGCATCAGAGGAGCAGGAAGGCTGACGTTTCAGGCCTAGACCCTTCTTCAGAAAAATGTATATTAATCAGGCTTCTGTCTCATCTATTGCTGCTATACTTTGCAAGGGTCTTACAGGCAAGACATATGAACACAGGGCATGTTTGGGAACATGAGACTGGGACATCATAGCTATTACACAAACAATGCTGAGGGACAGACAGGACTGGCGTCTCAATGTTCCAGGTTTTAGATGCTATAGGAAGGATAGAAAGGGAGGTAAGAGAGATGGGGAAGTGGCGTTTTTGAGTAAGGAAAACATTACTGCTGCACTTAAGATGTTTCTGAGGAATCGTGCAGTGAAATTACATGTATGGAACTCCAAAATAAGAAGGGTATGATCACCTTGATGGGATTGTACTATAGGACCCAGAGTGAAATTGAGGAACAAATATGTAAAGAGATCTCAGATAAATGTAAGGATAATAAGGTTGTAACAGTAGGGGATTTTAACTTTCCAAACCTAGACTGGGACTGTCATGGTGTTAGGGGCTTAGTGGTGAGGAGTTTGTTAAATGTGTTCAAGAAAATGTTTTTTTATCAATATGTAGATGTATCTATTAGAAAAGGAGCATAACTTGACCTTCTCTTGAGAAATAGGGCAGGGCAAGTGACTGAAGTGTTGGTGGAGGAGCACTTTGGGACCAGTAATCATAATTCTATTGGTTTTAAATAGTTATGGAAAAGGATAGTCTGTGTATAAAAATTAAAGTTCTTAATTAGAGTAAGGCAAATTTCGATTGCATGAAACAGGAACTTTCAAGACTTGATTGGAGTCGACTGTTCACAGATAATGGACAACTGGCAAGTGGGAAGCTTTCAAAAGTGAGATAACAAGATTTCAGAGGCATTATGTTAATGTTAGAGTGAAGAGTAAGGCTATCAGAGTAGGGAACAATGGATGAATAAAGAATTGAGGTTCTGGTCAAGAATATGGAGTCATATAATATGTATAGACAACTGGCATCAAGTGAATCTCTTGAAGAGTATAAGGAGTTTAGGGGGATTTTTAACAGGGAAATCAGGAGGGCAAAAAGGGCATTTGAGGTAGCCTTGGCAGGATAAGACTAAGGATAGTCCAAAGAGATTTTATAAGTACATTAAGAGCAAAAGAGTAATTAGGGAGAGAATCGGGCTTCTTAAAGATCAATGAAGTTGTCTATGTGCGGAACCACAAGAGATTGGAGAGATACTAAATGAATATTTCACATCAGTTTTTACTGTAGAGAAAGAAATGGGGGCTAGAGAACTTGGTAAAAATAAATTGAAAACAGTTCACATTACTGAAGAGGAAGTGCTGGAAGTTTTAAAAACATAAAGATGGATAAAGCTTCCAGAACATTGTGGAAAATTGGGGAAGAAATTGCAGGACCCTTAGTGGAGATATTTGTGTCATCTACGGCAATTGGTAAGGGGCCGGAGGACTGGAGGGTGGCTAATGTTGTGCCGTTATTTAATAAAGGCTGTAAGGAGAAGCCTGAAAATGATAGACCTGTGAGTTTGACATCAGTGGTGGGTAAGTTTTTGTAGGGGGTTCTGCAAGATAGGATTTACATGCATTTGGAGAGGCAAGGACTGATTAGAAATAGTCAGTATGGCTTTGCATGTGGAAAATTGTGTCTCACAAACTTTAATGAGTGTTTTGAGGACATAACCCTAAATGATTGAGGGCAGAGCAGTAGATGTTGTCTACTTTAGTAAAGCCTTCCACATGGTGGACTAATTAGTAAAGTTAGATCACATGGGATTCAGAGAGAGCTTGCCAACAGAGGAGACAGAGGGTGGTGGTGGAAAGGTGTTTTTCAGATTGGAGGTCTGTGACCACTGGTGTTCCTCAGGGATTGGTGCTATGTTCACTTTTGTTTGTCATTTATATAAACATATGGATGAGAATAAAGGAAGTATGATATGTAGGCTTATGGATGAGACTAAAATTGGTGGTATAGTCGACAGTGAAGAAGATTATCTAAGATTACAAAAGGATATTGATCAATTGGGCCAATGGGCTGAGTGAGGAGTGGCGGATGGAGTTTAACTTGGATAAATGCGAGGCATTCCATTTTGGTAAAACAAACAAGGTCAGGACTTATACAGTTAATGGTCGAGCCCTGGGTAGTGTTGTTGAACAGACCTATGGGTTCAGGAACATGGTTCTTGGAAACTTACATCACAGTAGACAGGGTAGTTAAGAAGGCATTTTGCACGCTTGCTTTCATTTCTCAGACCTTTGAGTATAGGAGTTGGGACGTCATGTTGACATTGTACAGGATGTTGGCGAGGTCTCTTTTGGAGTACTGTGTACAGTTCTAATCACCCTGCTATAGAAAGGATACTGTTAAGTTGGACAGGATTCAGAAAAGATCTAGCAGGATGTTGCTGGGACTGGAGAGTTTGAATTATAATGAGAAGCTGGATAGATTGGGATTTTCACTGGAGTGTAGGAGGTTAAGGGGTGATCTTATAAAGGTTTATAAAATCTTGAGGGGCATAGATAAAGTAAATAACAAAAGTCTTTGCCTGAGGGTGAGTTAGTTCAAAACTAGGGGCATATTTATAAGGTGACGGGAAAAAGATTTGAAAGGGACCTGAGGGGCAACTTTTTCCACACAGAGGGTTGTTTGTATGTGGAATGAACTGATAGATGAGGTAGTAGATGCAATATTTAAAGACATTTGGATAGATACATGAATAGGAAGGGTTTAGAGAGATGTGGGCCAAATGCAGGCAAGTGGGACTAATTTAGTTTGGGAAATTTGGCCAGCATGGACAAGTTGGACTGAAAGGTCTGTTTCCACGCTGTATGACTCTCTGACTCTATACCACCTGAAACATAGATCTCAATCTTGTAAAATCCTAATCTTAAAGTGTCTCCAACCTGTCATAATCTAACATTTATCTTACACTAAGGCAGTAGCATAATGATGGGATATCAGTAATTCTTAACCTTATCAAGCAACAGAAGAATGGGTTTCCAAACATGTGAATAGGAATATCACTCATTGTCTTATCCATGCACCTCCTAATGCCTGATTTTACAAAAACTGGGAACAATCTAATTTGACTTTTTGTTAGAATAGAAAGAAGGGGATCCTCAACAAAACATGATTAATATATTATGTTGTTAGCAAAATTCCATTTTAGTTTTGAAAATTTCATTTTTCTAATTTACTGATCTCTCCTTTAAGGTGGCAAACCATTGTTGAGTATAATTTAATGGGTAGATGTACCTTGGTCAAATGGTCATTCTACATGTCTGAACCTGCATGGTGGCAGTGAAATATTTGACCATGGCAGGCTTCACAGCAAGATGTTAATGTTCCATCAGATAATATCCACACACATCTATTCCCAGCAGAATGAATAATCCTGGATATTTTTTTTCTCGTCAAGCACCTGAAGACAAAATTCCCACTTGTTAGATTCTGACTGCCAACATGAATGAGATCAGCTGACTATGTACTTTCTAAATCAGGAGATAGTGTACTCATAAATATTTTGTGCTTAATTATTTGTGTCCTGCTGCATCTTAAGTTCTTCAAGGAATTTCATTGGAATTCCAAATTTCCTGATCACTGTGACAATCATTTAATGATTTTGCTTTAATGATAAAGTGCATGAGAAATTGGTTGATGGTTCATTTGCCAAAATCAGAGAATCAATAATCCATTCTAGAGAAAAATTGTGGATGTAAAAACACACACCTGTCACTTAAATCTTAATAAATCATTGTAGAAAACAAGCCTCTAAAGTAAATTAATTTATTTCAGAGAAAATATTATTTTTTGAGTCTCCTTGCTTCATGGACATTAAAGATGTGGTAAATTTACAGGATTATTGAAAGTGAAAGATACATTGTTACGCACATGTTGATAAAACTTTTTTATAATGAGAAACGTTACATGTATTTTTATAATTATCTGTAAGCAACAGAAAAAAATTATGCCAATGAGTAAATGCATCTAAAATTGTCTGACTATGTTATGCAATATTACAGCTTGATTATATTGTGTGAGAGTAAATATGTATTACATAATCCATTTATTACATAAGACCAGTTTATATTAATGGTAATAATTCAAAATATATATATAAATCGATAAATTAGAGTTCTAAATTCCAATATGTAGTATATATATTTATTGCATATAAAGTAATATTTTATGTAATAAGGATCTATTACAAGTTATATACATCTGTTAATGTTAGTCTACTCATAGTGTCCAAAAATTCTCATTTCTTCACATAGGATGCTTAATATAAGCCATATAATTTTTTGGATCGCAAAAAAATAACCTCGATAAGTAAACATTTTACTTTCCTTTCCCGAATTAAAGAAAAATTCCAAAATTGAGGTTAAACTAGTGACAAGAAGAACATTTATTTTTTTCAAGTGTTAATGCAAACATCCCTAACACCAAGTTCAAAACCTTATCCTTCTTCACAGGAAAAGATTTGTCCCAGCAATGAACAGAAAACCACTCAACAATGTGTCTGGGCCTCTGCTGTCAACATAAGAGATAAGTACATCTATGTCTCCCAACCCACACAGAGTCGGCTTCTTATCATTGACATTCCATCCCAGAAGGTGTTACAGGTAACTTTAACTGATTAATCTAATGCATTAGATAGTAATTACAATGTTTAAGTTATAAGGTTAAATGTGCCTAAGACCTCAGCAACATGAATTTGTATCCAGTTAAGTTTGTCAGCGCGAAAATCTGGTGTCTGATAATTGTATTAATCCAGTACTAAACTGATTTTGGCAGTCTTTCCCTTTTCCTTAGAGTTGCTGCACACCATGCCATTGCTCTTTAACTGGCAGCTGGGCTCAAGAGTGAGCAGAAGCAAAGCTGTCACAGGAACTGGAAATGCCATATCAGTGTGGGAGGAAAGATATTCTTTTGAGATGGCAACTAAATAGAAGGATTGAATAGTCTTTGTGTAATGCTGCAGGGAGTGTTTGATAGTAAAACTTTTTTTTAAATTATAGTTTCAATATTAGTGCCTCACTGCCATTGGAGTTGAATACAACCCAAAACTCATTGTGTGAAATATCTTATAGAAACAAAACACTAAATATGGAAGTTGTAGCAGGATGCCATGTCAGAACAAAGGATTTCAATTGTTTGTCCACCTAGAGGCCTGAAGTTACGACAATTTTATATTGCAAACCATTACATTACTTCATCAGATTTGAACAATAACAAAATGTAGGTTAAACTTAAAAAAAACTTTACTTCATGAAGAGAGTGCTTGGTGCAAATCATGTTCTAAAGTAAAACTTTCAGCTGTTAGGTTATGGTGTAGTGGTAGTATTCCTACCTCTGAGCCAGAGGGCCTCGGTTCAAATCCCCCTTGCTCCCAAGGTGTGTATTGACACTTCTAAACACATTGATTAAAAATATCTACATAATTGAAATGCAGATGCTCACCACCTCAAAATGGGTGTCAGTCTCTCCAAATATGTACTTAAGAAAAATCTCACACTCAATATAACTGCTTGTCTTTTTGTCTTTTGTAGGCTGTATCAACAGATCCTGTCCCAGTGAAATTGCAATATGACAAGTCACATGACCAAGTTTGGGTCCTTAGCTGGGGAGATGTAAGGAAAAGGAATCCTACTTTGCAGGTATGAGAGAGTTAGTATGTCCTCCTTTACCAGAGATAGAAAATTTACCTGACCTGAAATTAATGATGATCAAACTTTGCAAGCAATATTTCTGTACAGATTTTTATTGATAAGGGAGACAAGATGTATGCGGAACAGCCTGGAAAGTAAAGTTAAGACTACATTCAGACAAGCCATGAACTTATTGAGTGAAGGGGCAGGTAGCATGGAGATAGGGTATAAAAAGCATTCATTCAGCGAGGACAGCAGAACTGTAAAGAGCGATCATTCAGCAAGGAGAGTGTGCCTGTAAAGAGTGAGACATCAGCAAGGAGAGGGAAGCTGTATAAAGTGAAACTTTAGGGAGAAGAGTGAATATAATGAGTAAGGTGCAAATGGGGCATACAGAAGAAAGTATATAGGACAGTGGGAAAGAGAAAGAGAAGTGTACAGGGGAGAGCAGGCTACACAGGAGTAGAACAGGGTGTAGAAGAGGGCAGGATGTACAAGAGAGGAGGGTGGAGTAGAGAAGAGAGGGATGTACAGGAAAGCAGGGTGTACATGAGAATGGGGTGTACAGAAGGAGAGGAGTACAGTAGCAGAGTGAAGTAAACAGGGGAAAAGTAGGTTATTCAGGAGAACAGGATGGTCAGGAGAGAGTGTATGTGAGGAGAAAAGCATATCTTGGAGGAGAATGGGCTATACAGGATCATAGTGGGTTGCACAGGAAGTGAACAGAACCTCAAATTGCAGAATCTCTGGATTATTACATGAACCATAAGCACATTGGCACAGGAAAAATAAGGTTACAAGGTTAAGTGCAGCACTCAAAGACTGGTGTGGAAGAATAGATTTCTATTCATAGGCACTGCCATTAATATCTGGAAAAATGTGAGCTGTACCATTCGAGCAGATTTCACTGGAATCATGCTGAGAAGTGTTCAGGAGAGTTATATAACAAGGGTGATACAGAGGTATTAAATTGAATAATGGGAGTAAGGGATCATATGAGGAAAGTTACTGTAAATTAAAGAAAAAAGACAAAGCAAAGAGAACAGTAAGGATAATGATACGTCACACTTACCTCCTATGCACTTACATCTGTACACCCTATTCTCCCCCTCTACTCCAGTTCTTCTATTTTGTTTTGATTGCTGAGTACATTCAGATACAAAAACCTTTAGTTCCATCATTTTACTGTGTTTACAGCCTTTGGCCTTATTGGCTGACACATTCTTAAGTTTGCGCACTATGTCCTTTCCTAATTGTTAGTTTGTTATCTTTGCCAAATTCTCTGTGTTTGTTTCAGTTTTTCAGCATCCACAATAGCTTGTCTTCATTTGTATATTCTGTTGCCTTATTTCAGTAGAGTTACAATTTTATTGGAAGATGTGCAGTGCAGGTTCACTTGATTGATACCGGAGATAAAATGTTTGTGTTATGAGCAAAAGCTGGGCACTTTGGTCTTTACATGTTGGAGTTTAGAAGAATGATGTGAGCTTATTGAAAAGCATAAGATTTTGAACAGACGTGACAGGGCGGATGCTGGAAGGATGTTTCCCCTTTTTTTGTAGAGACTAGAACATCAGGACAGTTTCAAGTAAGGTGCCTTCCATTTAAGATTGAGAAGAAGATAATTTGTTCTCCCTGAGGGTCATGAATCTATGGAATTTCCTTACCAGAAAGCAATGTTGGTAGGTTCATTGAATATTTTTAAGGCAGAGTTATATAGGTTGCTGATTGATGAAGCAGCCAAATGATACAGGGAGTAGACAGGGAAATAGAGTTAAGGCCACAGTCAGATCAGCCATAATCCCATCAAAATGGCACAGCAGGGTTGAGAGGTCAAATAGACTACTTCTGCTCCAACTTATATTGTTCCTGATTAATTTGTACAAAGTTATTCAAGACTCTTTCTTCCATTTATTCATGATGTGGTTGGCTGTGAGAAGGCTGGCACTTATCATCCATCTCTAATTGCCTTTAAAAAAGTAGTGGTGAGCCCCTTCTTGAATTGCTGCCGCCCATGTAATATAGGAACACTCACTGTTATGGATGGAATTTCCAGAATACTTATCCAGCAACAAAGAAGAATAGCAATATATTTCCAAATCAGGATGGTGTGAGAGACGAGGCGAGGAACTTACAAGTGGTGATGTTTCCATTACCTGCTGACCTTATTCTTCTCGGTGGTAAAGTTTTGGACTTTTTCAAGCAGCAGGTGGTGGGAATCTGTAACTCACTGTCTGTAAGGGTGGTGCAGGCAGGGTAGTATTAGCTCATAGGTGGCCCAATGGAGAGGAACACAAATGCATCCAGAACTTTGGCTAATGCAAAGCACAAATATACCTAAGTAGAGAATGAAGTCATATTTGGAGTCAGGAAGTTCCACCAATATCTTCGGGGACATAAATTTATAATAATAACTGACTGCAAACCCCTGCTAGGTCTACTTAAAGGCAGTGCAACCCATAGTTTCAGGCTGAGTTCAGCAGTGGGCTCTTACACTAAATGCATATAATTACAAGTTGGAACGCCATTCAGAGGACAAAATGTGGATGCATTGAGCCTCCTTCCACTGGCAGATACACAGCCAGTGGTACCATCACTGGAAGAGCCTATAATGGTTTTAAATTTTCTGAACGCACTTCCAGTCACAGTTGACAATATCAGACATTGGATACAGAAAGATCAGGTCCTGCCAAAATGGAAACAGCTGGTGGTGATGGGGTAAACCAAAGGGCCGTCACAACCAGAATTGTAACCTTTTTAGACTCAGAGAGATCAGATCACAAGGGATGGTATGTCATTATAGGAAGCAAGAGCGATTGCCCGGAGCAAAGGTCGTCGCCAGATACTGGCTGAACTTCACCAGGATCATCCAGGGGTTTCCAACATAAAGACGTCGATGAGAAGTTATGTCTGGTGGCCAAGATTAGATGTAGAAGTAGCCGCATTGGTGAGGCACTGCCCAGAGAGCACCAAGGACAGAAATTACTGCTGGCAGCTCCCCCACATTCGGGGAAATGACTGGGTAAACCAGGACTCAGTTACTATGCAGGTCCTTTCATGGGCTCAATCTTCTCAGTTATAGCGGATGCCCACTCAAAGTGGCTGGATGTCCATACAGTTCATTCGTCAAACACAGGGACAATGATAGAAAAACTGCATGCATCTTTTGCAATGCACAAACTCCTGGAAGTGTTCGTCATAGACAACAGGCCATCATTTACTAGCAGGGAATTTGAGTATTTTCTAAAGTTGAATCATATTCAACATATAAGGACAGCTCCATACCATCCATCATCCAATGGTCTGGCAGAAAGAGCAGACCAAACTTTGAAGGCAGGCTTAAAGAAACAGCCTACAGCTTCACTAGATACCAAACCATCCTGGTTCCTATTTGATTATAGGCCCATACCTTATGCAACTACAGCAGAGTTGCTAATGGAGAGAAGACTCCACATCAGGTTAAATCCGATCTTCCCGGACCTGGAAGGAGAGTGAAACAGCATCAGGAATGTCAATGATGGAAACAAGACTCACCTAAGCAAAAGAGACAGTTTACTTCAGGGGATGAAGATTGGTGTAGGAACCAAGGGAATGGCCGATATGGGTAAGAAATATGGTTGAAACAAGGTCAGGTCAAATGACGTATAAAGTTCGAGTAGGTGAGATGGTCCTGAATCAGCACCATATGAAAAGTACAAACTTGCCAACGGTGCAGGTCAAAAATGTGCCCAGCTCCTTAACAGCCTTTCTGACTGCTCTGGAACTGTGGGTTCTCCCTCTCCATCAAGCGTTCAATATACCTTGGAATCTGAGATGGATACAGCTGACTTTGCCACATCATTGCCTTTACTGCTGGAAGAAGAGAATGAATTTCTTCTGAAATGCTCCAGGCATGAGACACAAGCTGCTGTGCATTACGCACCACCCGTATCCAAGGCATAGTCAGTGGAACCTGACCCAGTGCTGAAATGCCCCAAGAGGATCTATAAAAAAAAAAACCAGCTTATGTCCTCAGACTCAGAGGAGGAGGGATGTAGTGATTGTAACAAGGTCAATCGGTTGGACCTCATAGAATATGAGTTCCCTGATTGGTGCTGCTAATCTAGTCCAGTCAGACAGCCTGGCTGGCAGATAAGAACAGGAATGTCAGATATCCGGTTCACTCTAAGAGCTGGCTTTGAGGGAGCTGAATCAGTGTCAAGGAATCCCACGTGTAAATAAAGGGTGAGTTGGTGACAGTGGAGTTACTTCAATCTGTTACTTTAGTTGTGTGAGTTAATAATTAATTGACTAATTGAATCAATAAGATTACACAGATATGACAGTGATGGTAGTGTACTGTTATGGCAACATTGTAGGAATATATGGAATGCTTTTCCATCCCAGACAACCGTATCCAAAGTAAATTTCTGCAGCATGAGCGATATCAACTCACAGTTGCCGAACTGGAGTCTGAATTTCAGACGTTGTAGATCTTAGGGAGGGGGAGCATTACATTTTTTTTTCCAGGAGCAGTCACATTCCTTAAGCTTGGTAGAACTTTATATTTGGTCAATAGTCAGGGGCAGAAGTTTCTACCTGAGCAGGCAGATATGGGCAAGTAGTGATGGAAGAAGCTCAATCATTGACTTTGACAAACAGGTATGAGGTGCTTGCTACTAGTGTGGATGAGGTGAAGGCTTGATACAGGCTGAATGGACAATCTGGCCATGGCACCATGGTGCAGGATACCATTAAAGTGGCAATAGTAAAAAGGAATAATGTAGCAATAACAAGCAATGTAATAATATTAGGACAGTATTGATGGGGGATAGATAATGTTCTCTAAACCATAATCAGGATTTCAGAGGGTTATGCTGCCTGCCAGGTGCCAAGTTTGAGGACATGTTCTTGATCTTGGAGATGAACTTGGTGTGGGAAAGTGGGTGTGGTGAGGGATGGTTGTGGTGCTGGGAGTGACTCACTTGTGATGGCCCACAAAGAAACCAACAATCTAGGTAGAACTTGGAATGATTTTCTCTGAGAGAGGTTGAGGCATATGAGAAGTAATCTTGACTGACCAGAAACTTCTCCCACCCTTACTCCCTGTCATTGTTCTGTGTTGGAAGGAATTACAGATTGTTACATAATCAATTTGGCCACATTATGCCTTGGCCATCAAGTCCAGAAGTGGGACATGAAACCAGAGATTCTCACTTAGAGACAGAGATACTACACACTGCACCACATGACTTAAAAATTTGGAAACATACTTGAAAATAATTATGTTAAGAAAGAAAATAGCCTGAAGAAATTAAAGTCACAAGGTAGAGTTTAGAGATAAAAACATTGGAAATCCAAGCCTTAGCTTGGAGAAATATAGCTACATGAGTCCACTGATTTTTCTGCCTCCTGTTTTTCCAGGTCATCACTCAGGCAAGTGGAAGTGGAGACCATCACACAATCCATACACAACCAGTTGGCAAACAGTTTGATCGGGTGGATGATTTTTTCATTCCTCCAACTAACCTCATCATCAATCACATCAGGTAGAATTCTACATATTTGTTTTACAGAGCAATACATGTGCCATTACAACAGGATTGTACATTTCTCATAAAGAGTGTCTTGTATGAGCAATAAACTTGTTTTTATATTATACTAGAATGAAGTTTCATCCAAATACTTGGAGGAGAATGATGAATTTACTGTCAAACTAAACATTATTTGTAATACCTGAAAGAACATTTTGTACATAACACTACTTAAAAATATTAATGAGGAATTTATGGATAATATTCGAGGCACGAAAAATTACTCCAGGAAGTATAAAATGATACTTTAACACCTGTATAATACGTCGGCTTCACTCCACTTTAAATTCCAATCAATGATAGATCCAATGTCATCTCCCTTGCACATCTATGTCAATTTGCCATTATTCTACTAGCACTATGGCCTCATGGTTAACTCACATATTTGCACTTAACATGTAAAAATGATTGTGCAAAAGAGCTTGGAGCAAGGAATACACAAAATAATTTCAGCGTACTATGACAGGTTTTGATATTATCGATATCACAGAAACGACAGCGATGGTTTCCTAAAATGAAGACACCAAGCAAAAGATATACTTGACAGTGTAGTATGTAGTACAGACTAAAACAAAAAGTTACCATAATTATTAATTTCACTCCCAAGCAAAGTACAATGCCAGAAGCAATCATATTTGTTTGGAATGAATAGCACAAAAAGTCAACTGTAGATTCATTTTGTAGACACTTGCACTGACAACAAGTAGAACGTTATTACATGAATCCAGGTAGTAAAATTCAAAATTGGTTTATGGAGGGCAATTTGTTTAACTTTTGTCATTTACGGGTCCCAAATAAAGAGTAAATACTAAATTAGTTTTTAAGAGATAGCCAGATCAAGTGATCAAAGCAAATGTCAAACACCAGATGTAGAAACCAAACAACAATTCCAAATAAACATCATATTCAGACTATATCATGCTAAAGCACAAAATTAGCCAGGTGTACTCCAACTGTTTGTTATTACTAGGATTGGAGCTATCCATACACTGGTGATTGCCTAGCAATGACCAAAGTATCTTCTGCACAATGGCATGATCTTTGTTAAGTTTGGTTTGTGGACTCTGAGCTACGGGGAAAGACTGGATAGGCTGGGGCTATTTCCCTGGAGCATCAGAGGCTGAGGGGTGACTTCATAGAGGTTTATAAAATCATGTTGGGCATGGATAGGGTGAAAAGCCAAGGCCTTATTTCCTGGGCAGGGGAGTCCAAAACAAAAGGGCATAGGTTTAAGGTGAGAGGGCAAAGATTTAAAAAGGACCTAAAGGGCAACTTTTTCACACAGAGGGTGGTGCGCGTATGGAATGAGCTGCCAGAGGAGGTGGTGGAGACTGGTACAATTATGGCATTTGAAAGGCATCTGGATGGGTACATGAATGGAAAGGGTTTAAAATGAAATGTGCCAAATGCTGACAAATGAGACAAGATTAATTTAGGATGTCTGGTCGGCGTGGACAAGTTGGACGAAGGGTCTGTTTCTGTGCTGTACATTTCTATGACTCTATGATTCCTTTATTTTTCAAGATATTTATACTAAATGCTTATGCAATCTGGTAGTAAATCTGCACATCAATAATCATGAAAAGATATTTTTGGAATTGATAATGCAAGACCAACTGATCAGTGAATAGGTGTCCTCTCACTGGATCCACCTGGGGCTCCTGACAATCTTAGGACTCCATCCAGTTGCATGAATGGGATTCCTGTTGTGTGAACAGTCCAAGTGTCATCCCTGCTTATGGGAAATTATGTTGCTTCTCCCATTGCTCTCCTTAGTTCTCACAAAAACAATTTGTTGCTGACTCAAATTAACTCGGCTACGTATCCACAGAAACATAATCATTCCACGTAGAATAACCTGCAGCTGATTACTGTATTCTAACAGTTTGGAATATATAGAGATAGTGCGTATCTATTTACTTTATCAAAACAGCAGACAACTGATTTAATAAACTGTAGTCACATAATAATATACTTTTAAGGTTATCAATCAACTTATCATTAATTCTGGATGTTCACAAAATGCTAATGTTGAAGCTAATTACCATTTTATTCTTGATGATTCTGAATTTCAAGTGAACACCAGCACATGTTGTTCCTGTTCCTTCCATTTGATGCAAAACACTTCTTCCATTGCATGGTAAACTTTCTGTTCACATCTAGTCAACAAACAAGCAGTCTTAGCTGACGTGTTTAGTATCAGTGGAAAACCTGGCTGTTTACTTGACCTACATACAAATCAAACACTGCACCTCATTAGTCTACCCTGAATACTTCTTTATACCAACATCAGAGGATGCTATTTTTGTTGAATTTTGCCAAGTAACTGATGCTGAAGTCAATGTGAAGGGCATGCAGATCAATCTGTTTATCGCTAAATCTTTCAGTTCTGTTGCTGAGCAGCATAGGATGAGTCAAAACTAACATAACATTGGAAGATGGTGATATAATTGAAAATGGAATTGGTCTCAAATCTCACCTCTAGTATTTACCCCTAGTCCTATGTTGTACAAATGTGTCCACATGTGAACCATAAATGATGCATTTAGGTGTGAGTAACATGATACCTCAATCCTGGATGACATTATCACTGAAGTAAACTCATAGAATCCCCACATTCTGGAAGCAGGCCATGCAGCCTACTTAGTGCACACCAACCCTCTGAAGATCATCCCACCCCCCTTCACATCCCTCAGCATTATGGGCAATTTAGCATGGCCAAATCCACCTAGCCTACACATCTTTAGACTGTGGGAGGGAACTGAAGTACCCAGGGAAAACATGCAAACTTAACACAGCCATCCAAGGATGGAATCGAACCCAGGTCTCTGGCACTGTGAGGCTAATCAGCAGCATTGAGGAACAAGGGAAACAAGCAGTGGGTAGGAGGACAGGAGCCCAAGGAACAAGAGAAGGAGAGCTGGGGTGTGGGGGTTGAGCAAGGTTCAGATTGGATATGAATTTCACAATGTGTCAGGGAGAGGGGCAAAGGAGTCATGGATAGTGGAGAAGAGAAGCCAGTGCATGGTGGTGGTGGATGCGTTGGTGGAGGTGGTAGTGGAGGAGGTTGGGAAAGGGCAGAGGGAGTATGTTGGAGGAAAAGAGGAATAGGAGCTCTAAGGGGACCGTATGAGAGGAGATGTGTGGTATTAGGACCTGAGGACCAGTCTTTATCAGCCTAAATCTGTCACTCCTGTTGTTTTACAGCATAAGCTGGCATATTTGTGATGTAAGAAATTTGAGCCAAAACCACTATAAAACTATAAACTACTGTAATATTTTCAATTTTTTTACAAAACTGGTACAAAAGTGTTAAACATTCTTAAACGTTTATAACAGTTTTTAAAAAGTCTCATAACTATTCTAAAATATGTTAAATTAGATTTTTAAAAATCTCAGGTGTCAATGAGCTGAAGACTGAGCTGAAAATGTTTGATGTTAATAATGGATGCAGCTTCAATGGCAATGGCCAGTTTGCAAACCTTTTGTTCTGTTCATTTCCCTGGTACAATTCTCACCCTTACTCACTTGAATACGAGAGATAGAGACTTGAACAGAGAAGACAGACAACTGGTTAATCAGATCTGGCTGGACCATATTAAGCGCTTTTAGACCCTGCTTGTGTCTGCTGAAAAAAAAAACTCAAAATTCAGAGATTGTCCTGCAGTGCAGAGGTAACCCCCAGCTTCTTTGTTGCAAGCCATTTTCTTAAAGCCCCTCTTCCTGTCCTCTCACCCATCACCTCTGCAAGTGGAAAGAGATCATGGGGTACTTTGTTGCTGAGACTGAAATCATCCAGTCAGGTGTCTCTGTCACTTCCCACCTTCTAGGTCATCAGCCAAAACACTACCTAGGAGCCTCATCCCAGCATTTCTCTCATTATTCTCCCATTTCTCCCATGCCCTGTCTATGTTCCTCTTATGCATTGGAACCCGCTCTGTGGGTTTGACCCTATACCCACTACCATCTGATCAGCCAGCATTGCTTCCTGGCTCCAACATTAGCTACCCATTTTTTTTTAAAACAGTCCTCTGTTCTCAGTTGCTTTCCCTGTCTCCATAGCACCTTTCATCTCAAACAACCAACCCTTAACATCTTTTCATTTCATATCCAAAGTCTTTAACCATGTTGTCTCCTCTCAAACTTGTGTTAATCCTTCCCTTCAATCCAATTCCATCCCTCCCACCCTGTTAACAGAGCTTTTAACAATGTCATAAATGACATTCAGTATAACTGTGACCTTTGATACAGTTGATCCCACCATCCTGCTCCAACACCTCTTCCATATCATCTCCCTCACTGCACTTGCCAGTTCCATTCTTATCTATCTAATCATAGCCAGAGAACCATAATGAAACCTGGTGTCCTCAATGATCTATTCATCCCATCCTATTGTTCATCCACACACTGCCCCTGAGAATCATCAAGTAAAAGTGCAATGTCAATTTCTAAGGATATGCTAGTGACATCCAGCACCATCTCACCACCACCTCTCTCAACCCCTCCAATGTCTCTGCATCTTCATAAGGCTTGTCAAACAGTCAGAACTAGATCACCAGAGCTCTGGTTAAATATTAGGTACACTGAGGCAACAGTCTTTAGTCCCTGTCAAAACCTCTCCTCTGTCACCACCAACTCCATCACTCTTCCTGACAACTGTCCCAGGCTGAACTAAACTCTTCACAAACCTGGCAGGGCATTTCACCTCAAGTTGAATTTGCAGCTACATATCCCCACCACCACTGAGGACATCTATTTTCATCTCAATAACATCACTCAAAAACGTCCCATTTCAAACCTTCTGCTGCTGCAACTTTTATCCATGCGTTTAATAATTCTAACACACTGTTGGCACTTGAGATTATCCGAATCTTTACTGCCCTTGTCCTATCCAGGTGCAATGATAGTGATTGCCCTTGTTATCAAGATGGTATTTGACCAGGTATGACAAAAAGGATCTCCAGCAAAAGTAGAATCAATGGGAATCAGGGAGAAAACTCTCCACTAGTTGTGTTCACAGTATGGGCACAAAAGCATCTCCGTGCTGGAGATTCTGCAATAACTATAAATCAGGGATGCCATGGAATGCTGTCCAATTTCCTGAATAAGTATAACTCCTATAACACTCAAGAATCTTGATACCATCCATGATAAAGCTGCTTCCGTGATTGACACCACATCCACCACCTTTAATGTTCACTCCCTCCATTAATGGTCCACAGTGACCACAGTGTGTACCATCTACAAGATCACTTCAGTGAATCACCAAGATTCCTCCATCAGTACCTTCCAAACCTGCAACCTCTGCCACCGAGAAGGATAAGAGCAGCTGATGCATGGGAGCACTGTTCCCTACAAGTTCCCTCTGAAGAAATCACAGTAAACTGCAACAAAGATCAGACAGCAACTTTCAAACGCACGACCACTTGATCCAGAAGGACAAGGGCAGCAATGCGTAGGAACACCACCACCTGCAAGTTCCCTTGTAAGCCACTCACCATCCTGACTTGGAAATATATTGCTATTCCTTCACTGTCGCTGGGTCAAAATCCTGGAATCCCCTCGCTGAGGGCATTGTGGATCAATCTACACAATGTGGACTCCAGATTCAAGAAGGCAACTCATCACCACCTTCAAGGGCAAGTAGAAATGGGCAATAAATGCTGGCCAGCTAACGATGCCCACTTCCCATGAGTAAATGAATAATTCCTCATTTTAATCACTGCACCATTAATGGTTTCAGTTGCCTAGCTCCCAATATTTGGAATTCTATCTCTACACTTCTCTGCCTCTTTCCCTTGGTTTCTTCCTTTAACATTCCTTAAAACCTATCTCTTTGACAAAGCTTTTGGTCATCAGCCCTAATATTTCTTTAAGTGCTTCAGTGTTATATATTGTTTCATATTGCCCCCGAGAAGCACCTTAGGATGTCTTTGCTACATGAAAGGAACTGTTTAGGTACAAATTATTGCTATTCTTGAGGAGAAATTTCTTCACCCAGAGAATGATGACCCTGTGGAATTCCCTGCCACAGGAAACTGGTGATGCCAAAACATTGAAAAGAGGTAAACATAGATTTTAGAACTAAAGGGATCAAAGGCTATGTGGAGAAAGCAGGAACAGGATACTGAATTGAATGATCAGCCATAATCATATTGCATGGCAAAGCTTTCAAAGGGCTGAATGGCCTATTCCTGTTCCTCTATGTTTCAAATATGAGAAGTTGGTGAAAGCAGATTCCATAAATAATTTCTTAATTGAGCACGAAAAACCGACTGGGTTATGGATTAAAGTGGCGATGTTGACTAAGCATGACTAATCTTTCAAAGAGCATGTTGAAATAAGATGAGCCTCGTGGCCTCCTTTTGTGTTTTATGTTTTAATTATTCTATGATTCTATGATTTTGCTATTTAAAAATCTCTCAGTTAAGCCTAATATCAGACAGCAGTTATTTTAGAACGCAAGGAAGAACCTGTAAGACAACCAATTAAATATGATTTTATCAAAGAAATAGCATTTTACCAACTATATCACTTCATGTTCGGATCCTTGTTTTTTAATTGATGTGTCTCCTTTCTGACTGCAGCCTAACTGAGCAGTAATAAATGAAAACCCTAATGATAATTCTTATCCATATTAGATTGCAATCTTAAGCTATAATTGTTGTTGATAGTAGGGATGCTAATTCATGAGGATGGAATGTGGGGAAACAGCAGTTTCTCTTGCCCAGAGAACCTTAGCCGTGGTGAAGAGCCATGGAAACTACAGAAGAGTTATATTTTTACAGGATTTTCCTTGGCTCTGTTACCATAGTGACAGCTAATTAACATAAATAAAGAAATTCAGCCCTCCATATATTTATTTTCTCACTCTTTTCTACTAAATGTTTAATTCTTGATTCAATTTGTGTTTTGATTTTCTATTTTAGATTTGGATTTATTCTTCACAAATCAGAAGCTGTACTTCACAAAATCGATCTAGAGACTATGGCCTACATTAAAACAATCAGCTTGAAAAACTACAGCTGCATTCCACAAGCAATGGCCTACACTCACCTGGGTGGCTATTATTTTATTACTTGTTTGGCAAATGGCTCAACTTCTCAGCCACAGATCATCTTAGACAGTGTTACTGATTCTCTAATCGGATACAATGATGAAGTGTCAGGTAGTCCATACATCTCCCCTGATGGGCACTACCTTGTCAGCACAGATGATGACAAGGGGTTGATTAGAGTCCAGTCTATTAGCTATCGGGGTGAGATCAAGTCTACATTTAATATTACTACCAATCTACACATTGTTGATGTGATCTTTCAGCCATCCTTCACAGAAGCCAACCAATATTACATCTATGCTAGTTCTCGTCTCCAAACAGATCTGCTATTCCTGGAGCTCTCCACAGGCCATGTTAACATCATTAGGGGCGTAAAGGATCCCATCGAACAGAATGACTGGCTGTGGAATAACAACAACAGGGTAGTAGTAGGCAGTGGCCTATTTGGACAGCACCTTGTTACCCCATCAAAGGATTCCCTGTTCATCATAGGTGCAAGACAAAACAAATTGAACTGTGAGATATCCAACATTATACGAGGCAACACGATTGTGTGGGTTGGGGAAGCATGAGAGGCTACAGAGTGGAGCTTATATCCATCCAATGACCTTCTACACTGCTTTTAAGACAACTGTACAGTTAACATCTGCATTTTTTTACACTGAAAAGCAATCTTAATGTACACAACTATGTTGCTGAACTTAACAGTGTTTTGAACATTATTAACGTGAGTGTTAGGATGCAACTCTTAGTTGAATGATAAATTAATCCGTTAAGTGTTAACCATTTTCGTTTTGTAAATCACTTAATGTCTATCCCATTTCTGCAAAAAAGATGTATATTTTCTATAACTTTTCACTGTGGACTACCATAAATGTGGAGTAAAAGACTAAATGAGCAACAAGGTATTTCTTTTCACAGTCTTTTTGCAGTCTAGAAACTAAAATTGTGGTTATTACAAACTTATTTTGAAATCAATCTCATTGTTCCACTCCTTTTAATTCAAGTGAAATTATCATACGACAGCCCTCAAAGGGTCACAAAGCAAAAAACAATAAAGGTTCAAGTTGATTGGAATTATTCAGTTAATTGTTGTTTAAATAGTTGGCTTTACCCCACTAATCCTGTGACTCTTTTAATATATTTTATCAATGTAGATGGCATGATCTTCTACATTGTATAACTTTGCTTCTGTAGCTTTGTGCCATATGGTGATATACAGTCCTAAAATGACAGAGCTAGACACTAGTGTGGTGATAAATTCACACTATTGTCAATGCATTAATTAACACTTATGGTGTATGAGCATTGCTCAGTGCTGGATGAGTGGACTTACGTAAAATTTCCACAGTTTTTTAAACACAGATGTAATGATGACTGTGGTATCTGAAAGTACAATTCCAATTAGCAGAATGTTGAAATTGCCCTGAATTCAATTTAACATCCAGCTCACCTTAAAACATTAGTCGATCATCACTAAGCACATCTCCCCAGTGGCTTTGAAATGTCCCTTCGCAACTGATCAGGCAACTTTTTCCCCGATTAAAAGATATTGAATACCTTTTTATCATATCTAAAGAAACCACTGACTTTTTCCTTGCCTACCCTGCTCCAAGAAAATGCAATTTGAAAACTTATCTTTTCACCAAGTCTAATAACTACCCAAGGGAAACAAAAGTGAACATTTCAACCGAAGGGCAATGGAATTCTGCAGGGTTCCTTAAAGCTTAAGTACATTCTTTGTTTTCCAGAAGTAAAATTCTTTTAATGCTGTATGTGGCGCTGTTTCATGGAACTATGGGTCTCCCCATTTCATTTGTTAGTACAATCTCAGAATGAACAGTTGGAATACACCTGATTTAATAAACATGCAACTGAAAGATAAAGTTTATACAGAAACTGACTAGAAATGAGTTTTTCTGCTTTATTAGCATATTATAACAAAGGTCAAACATATAATTGAAAATACTGTATGGTATAACCCAATAATTTAGGACTTTTTTTTTCATTTTTGTTCTCATAAGTACGATTACCAAAGTTTTTTAGATAGTAACCACAAAACCTCGACAATTAAGTTATGTGGCTTTATGACATTGTTATGAATTACATTAATATTTTGTGCATTTACAAAACCAAAATAACATCATACAAGGTAGATCTAAGATCGTAATGATTCCCAACTGAAATATTTGTCGCCACACCTTTTCCATTATCAGTCAATCACCACTGTCTGGCTTTGAACAATTTTAGCTCTTTAACACAGTACTGAGGATTAAAGTGTAAGCTGAAGCTCAGTATTTGAGAAGTACAGTAAAGATGGATGAGAGTTTCCCAGAGCTGACTATTACAAATATTGATTGAGAATGTGCAGTGAACAAATATAATGATCCAAACATCCACAAACAGTTTGGGAACCATTAAAGTAAGCAAATGCCACATGTGAAAAACAACAGTATAAACTGCATTGTCAGTTTAGTTGTAGGGGTGGGACTTGGGATTTCAACTGCACAACGTGAAAAGCAAATATCAACAAGCACGTAGTGATCTTTTACTGACCAATAAAAATCACAAGAGGATAAATGGAACTTTCATCCTTTTATATTTGTCTAATTCTCTGCTCTGTGAATTATGTTTCCCCCTTCCTCCTCCTCCTACATCAAAGTCTTCCTGCCAAAGGGACAAGACAGAAAAGCTCGCAATGAGAGCTCTCTTTATTCCTCTTGGGAATTAGCCAGCATCAGCTCAGTGTTTCCTGCACACTGAGAAATTTGTTAGATGGGCAAATTCTTGATTCAAGCTGGAATAAAATGACCAATAAACAGGTAAACCTTCTCCATTGCAGTGTGGGAACAGAATACATTCAGAAGAACCATGTACCACTTAAGACATACAAAGGTGACTCAGTTAAAGATTTTGACATGAAAAATGTTAGTCCACAGCATGGAACCAAACATTCCAACACCATTTTTCAAGGGCAATTTTTAAGATGTGATAGACTCATAGATGTATACAATACAGAAGAAGGAATTTGACCCATCATGTCTACACTGGTCAGCAAAGATCTGACTATGCTAATTCCATTTTCCAGTTCTTGGCCCATAGATCTGGAGGTTATGTCAGCGCAAGTGAATATCTAAATACTGCTTAAATGTTACAAGAGTTTCTGACTTAACTATCCTTTCAGGAAGTGAATCCCAAACACCCAACACCCTGCAGGTGACAATATTCTCCTCAACTGTCCTCTTAGCCTTATACCTCTTACCTAAAATCTATGTCCCCCTGTCATTAACTCTTCTACTAATTGAAAAAAGTGCCTTCTTAATTACCTTATCAATAGCTCTCAGACACCTTTATTAGGTCCCCTCTCGACCTCCAAAGAAAGCAACTGCAGCTTATTCAATCTTTCCTTAGAGCTCAGACCCTTGACTCTGGGCAGCATTCTGCTAAATCTTCTGTGCACCCTTTCTGGTGCATTCACATCCTTTCTATAATGTGATGACCAGACAGCACACAGTACTCCAATTGTGCTGAACTAGCATTTTATGCAATTCCACAATAGTCTTTTTGCTGTTGCATTCTATGCCTCAACTAATAAAGACAAATATCTCAGTAAGTCTTCTTAACCACCTTTTCCACCTGTTCTGCTACCTTCAGAGTTCTGTGAATATTCATGCTAAAGTCCCTCTGAACATTAGTATTTTTCAGGATCTGACCATTTATAGTGTAATCCCTTGCCATGCTAACCCTTCCTAAGAACATTACTTCACACTCATCTAGTGAGTTGCCACAGCTCTGCAGTTTGCAACAATCCCCCTCACTACTTACCACCATACTGATCATCATGTCACGTGCGAACATCCTGATCATTCACTCGACACTTAAATTTCAATTATTAATATTCACCACAACCCAGCAAGGGCACTGAGTCCGAACCCCACTGAACCCCAATGAAACTCACAATAAAATAATCATCCCTGCTTCCTGCCTCTCAGCCAATTTTGGATCTAATGTGTCACTTTGCCTTGGATCCCATGGGGTCTTATTTTCTTGACCAATCTGCCATTAGGAACTTATCAAAAGCCTTGCTAAAGTCCCTGTAGACCACAGCAGCCCTGGTTACCCCCTCAAGACAACTGCGCAAATTTGTCAAACACAACCTCCTCATAACAAATTCTTGCTGCCTATCCCTAATAAATTCATGTCTCTCCAAGTGGAGATATATTCTATCCCTCAGAGTTCTTTCTAATAACTTCCCATCACTGAGATTGGACTGACTGGCTTGTAATTTCCTCCCTTTTTGTTAATAATGGGACAATGTTGGTTATTCTCCAGTCGTCTGATACCTCACTTGTGACCAAAGAGGATCTGGAAGTTATTGCCAAGATCTCTGCTATTGCCTGCCTTGCCTCCATTAGCCCGGGGTACATCTCCTCCATGCCTGCAGAGTTATCCACTGCTAAACCTACTGGTATCTCCTCTCTCTTTATGTTTATTCCTTCTAACATTGCACAGTCATCCATCTGATGCCTACACCTACAGCATACTTTTTCATTATGAAGACTGATGCAAACTGTTCATTGAGGACTCTGTACACATTTTTGGGTCCACACACATTAACTCTATAGGCCATAATGAACCCTAGTCATTGCCTAGTTATTCACTTGCTCTTTATATATTTTTTAAAAACAACTTTGTGTTTTCCTTTGTTCAACTTGCACTCTTTCAGCTTTCATAATTTTCTTTTTAAGACTCTCCCCCGCCCCATTTTTATACTCCTCTGGGGACTCTGCCACAGTGAACTCTTAATATCTGGCATAAAGTTCTATTTATTTTTACTGCTACCTTTATGTCCTTTGATAGGTTATCAGGTCTTGGTGTCATCCTTTCTACAGGAACTTATTTCCCCTCGACTCTCACTAGTTCCACGTTAAATGTCTATGACATTTTTAGCTTCAAGTAGCTACTTCCAGGCCACTTGGGCCAAATGTACCTTATCCTAGTAAATTAACCTCTCCTCAGTTTAGAACTTTTATTCCTGGCCTATCCTTATCCTTTTTCATAACTATCCTAAATTTAACCGAGTTATGGTCATTATCTCCAAAATGTCTACCCACTGATATAGCTGCCCAGCCTCATTTCTGAATATTAGATCCAAAACTGCCCCATTCCTTGTTGGGCTTTCTATGTACTGGCTAAAAAAGATTTCTTGGATATGATTTAAGAATTTTGCTGCCTCCATACTGTGATGTAAGGTGTATGATTTATATATATATTAGTATAATTTATTTTTGTGTGTGGATTTGAGCTAGTGGCATGTGGGTTTTGGTCTGTGTGTCTGAAGGGAGCTTAAGGATTAACTTGTAAGTATTTCTGTATCCATGGTGATTTTTTAAAGGTCAGTCTGAGAGAGATAGTTTTTGAAGGCAAATTGGAAATTGTTTACATTAGAAGTGTAGCATGGAAAGAAAGCTTTTGCGTTTCAGTTTGGCAGTTTTGCAGAAGTCTCGGCTGAAGTTGGATGTGTAAAACAGTTGCTTCTCATGAAAGGAAATGGCTTAGAACTGTTTAGAAATAGATTACCTTCAGTGTATGCAGTTTAATTTGAAAGCTTGGTTTCAATCCTAAAAGAGTTATTTGAACCTGAGAGAGTCTAAGCTTAGTTGTTTGAACTCTGCAGGAAGGGCCTATCAGGTTCTCAAGATGGGGAATTGAAACTAATTAAGTTAATCCCTATAGATGCAAAAGAGAGGGGATATCTCTCGGATGTGAATCCTGAGGTTTTGTGGAGATTAATGAAATTGTATTTTACAGTGTATTTTTACGTCTTTAAACTGTGTTATATGTGAATAGTTTGTTTCTTTTTTCTATTTTATCTTACTTTCTTTCACGGAATAAACTTCT